AAGTTTTTATTACATTTTCATTTTTTGGGTGACTATTTTCCTAAAATACTAAACAAATGCTTAAGTCGACCAACAATATAATTATACAGAACTAATACATCACAAGTGTACAGGATACCTTTACTTTATAAATCTTCATTACCAAACTTGCTTTGTAAACTGTTAACATATCATTTTCTTGTTATTACATGATATATGTTCTTCAGTCATTGAGTTTTCAAAATAAAATTTTTTCTCAACCTACCTACCCTAATTTTTTTGGTCAGGGGACAGGAAACAAGAGTATATTTTCTTTTGGCCCTAGTTAAATGTCAACTGGATCATAGCTGTACAATTTTCAAGCTGGATGTGTATCAATTGAGTATTGACTTGTGCTTTATAAGAGAATCTGTTCAAACAGAGAGTTGATAATTCAAAATAAAGCAAGGATCGAGTCCTTACAAGATGGCAGTAAAAACAAAATAAATTGAATATTCTGAGCAACCTGCGAGAGTGTGACATCATTTTAATGAATGAGTGGGCGAAAGACAAGGAAAGAAGGAAGTACCTCGGATGTCGACTAAGAAAAGGAAGGGTTAGCTCAAAAAATTTTAAAAATTACACATCATGATGAGCATCACTGAGAGTTTCTCCAATGACAATTATTACTTCTGCCCTAATTCCTGCACTTATTGCACTGAATCTAATTTTTTGTGCTGTGCTCATGCATACTTGGTGACCTCGTTAAGATCTAGGTTAATTACAAATGCTGTAATTTCTCCTGTCATAATTTTCTGTGATGCATGTATGATTAAAAGCCATTGGTAAACATAATGCAGCTATGCACTACCTCGACTTTGTAGTATTGCAGTTTTCCAGAGAAATTATGTTGCATCAAAGACTTCATGAATAATAGAGCCATGCACACAAAACATGCTAAATCCAATCCTTTTCTGTAACATTTTCTTAATTTTCAAGGCTTTGATAGATTACATATATATTAAGTTTCTCCATTATTTAACATTACCTACAACAAAGTCTGATGCACTTTGCATTTCCACAAAATTTTCAGTAAACACTCGACTTAATGACGTAATGTTCATCCCACTTGGATAAACAAAAATGAAAGTATGTATAATATTTAATGGCATACTGTCAAATACAATATGTTTTGTTTTACTTCTAGTACGATATCATTAATGTAAAATTATGTAATGCAATGTTATAGCAAAGAGCACAGCAAATAGTAGTCATTTCTAGTAAATTTACAATCTGCATTGAATATCTGGGCCTGATCCATACACCATGTACACATCAGATGTTGAAAATCTATTATCATGTTTACTTTCATCTCAGGTGTGTAAAAAAAGAACAATTAACACAGCATCCCACTAAAACATACATAAGAGCACACTACATCCATTACTGCTCTCTGTTCATTAAGCACGAAGCTCTTGATTTTACCATTTTTTAGGGGGCATAACTCTTTCACTTAGTATATATTTCAACAATTTGAACAAACGTCCTGAAATGGGCAGTTAGACAGACAGACAGATAGGTAGACTAGGAGGAAACCTATGGTCCCCACTTGTTTCACCAGTAGGGGACTAATAAATATACCGCAACATGTCATTTTGGGGTCCCATAATTTTGTACAGAGTAATGGCTTCGATGTAAGAATGCTTCCTTCCCTTTTAGCTGCACATGCATTGTAAGAACTTCCTTTCTTCTATCATCATACCCCTGGCCCCAACGTTATAACGTAGGCAGTTCCTTATTGATCAGCAACTTTAATTTTTACAATTCTCGAATGCCTCATGCAATGCAATAATCAACACATTACCCTTAATATATATACTTCTCAAAACCATATTGGGTTTGAGGCGAAAGCCTATTTTTCTGTAAAATCCAGAAAATGATCTGTTAAAAAGGCAATACATTGTGAAGGCTTTGGAAATAGGAATTCCTCTCAGAATTTCTTGCGACGCTAGGAAATTCCCCTGGTATCGAACAGGAAGGAGTAGCAGGCAAGACAACGATTTGTCTTGCGTCTTCTTTATGACCATTTCTTGTCACCAAAATCTCGTTAGTTTTAAATAAACTCAAGTAAATGCCAGCATTACTGACATAAGAGTATCATAATTTTCTTGCAGTTAACGAGTTATTGTAAAAAAAAATGTTAAATGACTCGATCATCTTAGCTATTTGCATTATAATATTTTGTCAAGTTTTAAAATCTCTCTCTCTGAGATGAAATTTTAAAAACTCCTGAAAATCAAAACTTATTTTTTTCACTATACAAATTTTATATGGTTTTAAATATACAGAAAAAATATTCGAGTGCCACTGTGGTGTGAATATTATGCAATACTAAATAGATAAAACACAATCTTCACTTCAGCCAGCCCTCCTAGCATAATATAAACTCCTACTACACTTTATTTATGAAAACCTACAAGGTGCCAAGAATTCAAATACGTGCACACGACTCTGATAAAATTTCATATAATATCATGATTTTATCGAATTGGGAGGCTGAATATGAGATTGCATAATCTTCATCATTGGATTAAAATTGAGTCAATCTTCCAATTGAGTTAGACTGAACTACAAAAATATGATAAGAAAAATGTCATCCCAAACAAATCACAGCTTTCTTAGATGATAAAAATATTGGTAGTCAGTTTCATATTGAATTTTTTCTGTTGTTTAGTTTGTTTTTGAGTTGAACTAGCCCATAGTTTCAAAATAAAATTCAGCAACATATTATTGCATTTTTAATCCCAGGTAATGCAATTAAGTTGCATTTCTTAAGTTAACTCGAAGAGGATTCTCATGAAATTTATAGCACAGAGCATTTTTTTTTTCATCTTGTATTTATATATATAATTAGAAATAAAAAAAAATAACTATTCTCTATACATTTCAATGACTTATGCATATCATCATGCATATGAAATAAAGTATATGTCAAATATATTTTTACGAAAATAATTTTTACTGTGCACATGGTGCAATTGATGATGTTTCTCCGGATACATGATCAGATCATATTTTGTTCCTGAATGGAAGGGCGGGGAGGAATAACCTTTCTTTTCACTTGTTAGTTGTAACTTGTAATCATTTTTTTTTCAGAACAGTCCAGTCCAATACGAAAAATCGTAATATTACTAAAATTCGTAATATAAGCAATTTCTAACTCTTCTAAGAGTTACTTCCCTTTTTTCTGATACAACCTGCTTGTTATGTTTCATGAGAGATTATACGTCTCTGGTTTCATCAAATCATCGTGGATATGCATGCATTTTCTTTGTTTTGATGCATTTGATCCAAGTGCATGCAGAGTCAGAGCCTAGTGAATGTTGTACAAGTTATCCCCCGTAATATCTCGTTGTTGGAGATAAGGGTCTGATTTTTAGGGTAGACTTCGGGAAAAATATAGGGAATTCGGGGATTATAGAACACTATGACAAGTTCTAGGATACATTGAAGTTTTATGGAAAATTGTTCCCATCCCTGGGAAAATTCTTATATAAGAATAATAATACAAAATTTTCACTCACCCATTACTATTGTTACTTTCTTCTTGCATTTTCATACTTTTCGATAGACGTCACTGACCAAAATGACCACGTGATACTAGTACCATTGGGGCATAATGTATTTCTGACGTCATACTTTCCTTAACATCATTCAGTTTCTTTCAATGCTTAATTTTGTCTTACATTACGAAAACTCGTAATATAGTCTCTCACAACATGCTATATTACAAAATTTCGTAATTTAACTATACTACGAAAAATAGTAATATAAGAATAATATTACGATATTCTGTAATATTACGATTTTTCGTATTGGACTGGACTGCAGAAAGGGGGGTGGGTGGTGAGTGGGGGTGGGGTGGGGGAGCTAAAACTTTTCTTCTACAGCCTTTGGTCATCTTAAATCATTTCTAGGCTACTTGACTTGAGAAATTTTATTTCTAACACTACAAATTCAATGTCACTAGTAATGTATCTATTTATGAATCTGCACATATGTGGCTGAAATTTGGAATTCATGTTTAATTGGTGCTTACCAGATGAATAATGATTTCCGAAATGTGTAATATTTGTTAGTTAATGTGTTTGTACTATTGACTCCATGCATCCTCTCCTTGAAGTTAAGATCGTATCTCATTCTATAATTGTACTCATTATAAGACTTCACAAATGAACTATATCATGTATATGGGTCTTCGTGCTTATATATCACGTAGATATCATTTTGGAGTCTGTATGTCTTGCACATCTCAGTTTTCATATGCATGCATTACTCCAGGAAGAAACAGTCAACTCAGTAATTCAACTATTTTAAGTATCAACAAAAACATTGGTACTTATAAGAATATGATAAATGTGCACTTCATTTTTTCTTTTAGACATAAAGGTGTAGATCATAATTTCAATTTTAAAAAAAACACAACAGCAACAAATTAATACAACGTTTTATACTATTTTGCAATTGGTTTGCTTGTCAAGCTCTGTGTACACTATTTAGTGTTTTATCACTGATGATCAATGATTGAAAACGACAGCCTCTCCCTATTTCTTGTTTGCTGGGTTAACACTTTACAGTTTTTTCTGGGGAAGAAAGCTAGGTTTCAACCTCATTAGCACCTCCTTCTCCTTATTGTTATTATTGAATCAATGAATGACAAACATATCACAACCAATGAGGTTTTTGTGTCATAAATGAAAGCCAAGAACAAGGCACCACATGAAATGGGGGTGGGGTGGGTGAGGGGGGATAGGAAGGAGGGTACACAGAAAGTACTGGAGACAGTAGCATTATATCAACAGCTGGTTCTACTGTGTGTACGGTCGTTTATCAAAGTGACTGCAGACATGCACTGGACAGCACTTCCTGGCCAATAATTAGCTATTATTATGATTCCATTATCAACACGTGCACTTAGATCTATCTAATTATACACTTGCAAAACTCTTGACAAACACGCAAATGGGTAGACTTTTACTTACTTGGTCCCTGTGGGCCCGTTTTGGTTTGCCATGGTGAAGTGTCAGCCGATCTCCAAGGCTAATCTCAATCGCATCAGCAACTTGATTTAAATGTCTCCTTTAATACAAGCCAACGGATTTTTATCAGTGAACAAAAACACTCCACATTTCACATACAAACGCCCTTCGGCGCAAGATTTCAGCAACAAGCAAAATTGAACAGTCAGGCGCCTTGTTTAGTTGTAATGTAAACAAGGATTCATAACTTATTTTTCCTCGTTTCGTTTTTACCAACGTACGAGTCGAATCTTCATGGCGGATGATCGATAATTTGGCAGTCTCTCTCGAGTGATCTACTCTTTAGCTGTCCGTAGCACACTGGACACAATATAATATGTCATAAACACTGACCTTTCCTATTTGTTCAATCGGTCAATCCGTCTCTAATTGTGTCATATCATACCCTTGTAAAATAGCTAGAAATATGCCATTGATTGAAGAATGTCACGTGATAAAATCCTAAATATGTGTATTGTGACGTCAATCGAGGAATCCCCATCGGGCACCTGTTTTACGACAGAGGGGCTTTTCCGCTCCAACTCGCGGTTCAATAAACAAAATTTTCAACTACTTTCAGCGGTACTTAATCGTTTTTCTTTTCTTTGGTCACATAAAAATCAAAATTACTGCAAATTATGCAAATTATTAAGGGAAGTCTTTTTTTCGATGTGAGTTCACATTTGTTTTCGGGAATTGTCTAACATGAAATATCTTTAATTTTACTTTAAAAACATCATTAAAAGAGTTCTTCATTTATTTGCAAATTTGAAAAACTATGAATATATTGCGCTGTAATATAAGAATGAAAAAAAAAATGAATCAAGGAAAGCTTGCACAATCACATGCTGCGGAAAGGGAGGCAGCTCTTGAATACATATGTGTCAGTGATTCGTAAACTCTCTCTCTCTCTCTCTCTCTCTCTCTCTATTTATTTATTTACATAAACATATTTTTTTTTATTATCAAATGTTGTTTTATACCATAAAATAGTGTAGAAGACAGAACCATTAAACAATTCTTTTCTAAAATCGCCCGATGAATATATCTTAACAATCCTATATAATTTCCCTCAAAATAAACATCACGCGATACATGGAAATTGCGTTGTCAATTACAACAAAACTTAATATTCAATCAGATAACACCTTTCAAAGTTGTTCAAATCAAAATAAAATGTCGGGAAAATGTTTATGTTTATAGTATAATCTATAAATACTGAAATATAAAACAGTCTCAGAAACAGAGTTAAAATATATTTCTTATTTTGAATAATATGAATCAGATGTTACTCATTCGAACAATCATTGTGTCCTTTCTGATATATTATATTTTATTAAATAAATTAAATCTGCAACATGAAAATAGTAATGTTGCAGATTTCATTTGCAATTTTTATTAATAATGGTTAATATTTATCAAATAAAATCTGCAACATGAAAATAGTCAGGTTGCAGATTTTTTTTTTTTTTTTTTTTTTTGATAAAAAAAAAATACCAGAAAGGACAATTGGAAAAGAATCGTTTATCATTTATTACTCACATTTAAATAATTGCCTCTGCACTTTATCCTACGAAGTTTGATTCAATTTCCCACCCCATGCAAATTAAGCTCCATTGTTTACATTTACACATTATTTACTCTTATACATTGTTTATGCAGAAGAAGGAACAAGACCCAATATGATCCGTGACAGTTTTTGTTAAGTTATAAAATGTTCGTCACGAAGTTAACCTAATATTTAGAAGCTTTTAAAATTCTCAATCTTTAAAGCGAACTTTTTGGACAAAGTCATCCACAATTTGAATTACGATCATCAAATGAAAAATGTAACAGATGTCAATTTGTCCTTTGGTCATCAGATCTTCGTTTATACTTATTCATGTTCAGAATGATTAGAGCCTCGTTCAAAAATAAATTACATTTTGCATCATCGTATGTATTTTAAGTAATTGTTCTGCATCTTTGGTAAATAAATTCTTCCTTTTAACTGGGAGTTAAATTTTTTTGCTTAAAAATCGTTTTGTATTTTTCTATTTTTATAAGAAAGAACACTAATTATATATAACTAAAAGAATTTACAAACGCAGATAACAACACAGTTAGTTATATCCATTCTCAAGACAAGCTAAAACTAGGAATAAAATATGAATTATTAAAAATTAATTCTAAATACATGTATATGAGAGAATGTCGCCACATTCATGACTTCCGACTACTAAATGGCGACTATAGCTCGTAATTTGCTCTTGAGCACATCTTGATATACGATTTTAATAAGGGGTAATGAAATAAATTGCATAAATTTTATAAAGTAACTCACGATAAAACAAACATCATACTTTGCAAATATATGATGAAGATAAAATCAGTATATTTTTCTTTATCTATATATTTTTAGCCTGTCTGTCCGACTAGAAAATTAAATTTAGGTGAAAACTGGAATGAAATAAGCTACATGTATTTCCATTTCAAGAATTTAAATTTTCAAGAATAAAGATCTGAGTCAATTTTGAATCCAAGGCAGGCTAATGACAAATTAATTGATGTTCTAGGGTTTCATACAATTTTTTAAATCCAACATTTCATCCGTCTAGCTGTATATCTGTCCGTCTGTAACACTTTCGTTTCCTCGCGATATTTCGAGAAGCCTTAGACTTTTTGCAATCAATATACTACAGCTCCCTATATACGACCTACGGAAGACTCCTTTTTATTTTGAGGTCAAAAGGTCAAGGTTGTACATTCATACATTCTTTGTATCTGTAAAACATTCATTTACTGGTGATATTTCAAGAAGATTTTGAGGTTTTGTATTGAAATGTTATACTCTGTAAATCCCTATGGCCCCGCATGTTCTTCTAAAAACGCCTCTTAAGCGGGGAACACATATTCTCTGATATATTAGCTTGTCATTATAGGGATTGCATCTCCATCTGAACGGGATGTGCTATATGCACCTTTTAAAATAATTTCCCTCGTGTGTTTGTGGAATGGACAATTATCAAATTGATCAAATGACCTAGTCAATGAAAATTGATGTCGAAAAACTTTGCTGAAGGGTGGAATATGAAAATCACGAACAGAATTCAAGCTAAAAAAAAGTTCAGTTGGAACATTGCAAAATGGGAGCAGTGCAAACGCAGAACTCTGAAAAAATCAGAGGTGGGATCAGGTGCTATGGAGGCGTATGCATCCCCCTGCCGACCGGTCATGTCTGCTATGGAAGGGAATTACCGCCAAAAGTCTATGTATCTTGCTTTTATTTTTATTCTGCCTACTTCTTTATGCTTTGTTATTATTGTAATTATATGTCACTTTATTGTTTTCATATTCGTCTTTATTACATTTCACTTTGACTTTTATCCTTCTTCATTTTGACCTTACTTCTATGTTGCTTTATTCTTCTAAATTCATTTTACTTTCTTTTAAATTGATACAGTTTCTTAAATGATTATAACTATTACGAACGTTAACTCAATCACGCAAACAATGTAGCATATTCAATGAAGACGAATACAAGTTGTCCGAATTTAGTGCCGCATTATAACGCTAGATGGCAGGGATGTTCGCTAAGAGTGTTGGTAAAATTAGGTAAGCATACCCGGGCCGGGTTATTCGAGTTTTTTTTCAATTTTCTCAAACTTAAATTTTTAAAAGAATGATGTTTGTTATAAGTCCAGGTATGTACTCGATACATGCCATTCCCTCGGGTCTCGCTAGATGGTAAGCCCCCCGGAAGACTGACTACATAGTGATGCTTCCTTCTGAAGACTATACAGTGGGACTCCTCCCCCTCCCCGGGGAAGTTTCAATATATAGCTAGTCTTCCGTGGGAAATCTCGCTATACATAGCAATTCGCCCCATTCCTAGCAACCCCTACCCCGAATAGTTTTTTTTTTGAATCGTAAAACAATGTTTATATATACTAACGTTTTCAATTTTTGAAGAAAAGTTATCCGTTCAAACAGGGACCTACCGGGTATATACTAGTATATAGGTCCCTGGTTATATATGAATAAATATTTAAATAATATCATTTTAATGGTGTTTTATAATTAAATCATTTTAACCATTTAGTTAAACATAGATAATCTTCACGAGTAAATATGGATATGACTCTTTCTCCCCCCCCCCCTTTGGATGCAGTCGCCCGCGTGGCACTGTGGTTACGGCATCTGCTCTATATAGAGTCACGAAGTACAGTAGTAAGGAGTCGACCAATACGTCGTGGGTTCGAATCCCACTATAGGATGTGGAGTTCGGTCCTTCGGATGAGATCTAGACTGTATTTTCCGAGGTCCCGTGTCGCAGTATAAGTGCTGGCACGAAAAAAGATCCCTCACTGCTCAATGGCTGTAAGTGCCGAGTATATATGACAAATTTGCAGCTTTCCACCGGCAAGAGGTGGCTTCTCCATTTGAGTGAAAAATTCTCGAAAAGGAAATTATACAATGTACAATCACACCACCAAAGTCTCAATATATATACTGACTTCCGGGTGGACAACCTCCTATGGGGTAAGTTTCATCGGTAGAGGGGAGGGTGGCCACGAAACATTTACCTATAGCTAAACGTAAGTTTTTACCACTGGAAAGGTTCAGCGAAAGGCTTGTTGCCCCCATCCCTTACACTTTTTGTTGCAGTACTAATAGTCAATTTATATATTAAAAGTCATGTACTTAGTGGCATATGAGTAAAATTTATTACTGAAAAAAGTTGACGACCCCCCCCCCCCCTTCACTACCACCCAATAGAATTTTCGAGCTTTAAGATTTTTTTAGCTCTCCAGGTTGATGACAAACACGGTGCGTACTAAAGATATTTCTTTCTTTGTTGAAAAGTGCTATTTTAATATAAAATATTTACGCAGAAAAAAAGACCGGGGTGTTTCTAGTATGCATGAGTGCATGTATTCTGGTTCCAACTTCGACTTCCTTGCGCGGATCTAGAGGGGGGTAGGACCCCTTGGAATTAACAAGGTTACTAAAACAAGGAAAAAAAGTTAACCCCCCCCCCCCCCAATGAAATAGAATTTTGACGTTTGAGCAAGTTTAGGTTTTTTTCTTCTCTTTATGCTTGTCACCTGAGATTGGATTTTTTTTTTGACTGAGTTGCCCCCCCCCCCGACCCCACTGGAAAAAAAATTCTGGATCCGCGCCTGCCTACCCATAACGCTCCTCACTCATTTGCAAAGCCCTGTCCCTAGAATCACGCGCATAAGCAGTGACTATCTGTCGTGAAATAAAGTTCACTTCATTGGAAGGTTCTGAAAAACAACCCAATTTATAAGGGTTAACTAGTTTCAAAATCTTTAACATTTTTATAACAATTAAACTTAATTCAAATATCCAACAAATAACTTGAGTAGAACTATATTTTTCAGGCGAGAGAACAGTGACGTAGCATCGTTTTTGAAAGAGGGGAGGGGGGCAACAAGAGAATAAATATTCAAGCTACCCGACTGAAAACAACTTGACAAGCAAAAAATAACCCCCAGGAAATTGTCCAAACTTGAAAATACACCTATAGGCGTCGGTACCGGGGAGGGGGGGGGGGCTTAGCCCCCACTTCTTTCCAAAGATAGACTTAGTATAGACATTGAACATTCCTGCGTAGCTTTAGCCCCCCCCCCCCCCCCCACTTTCCATAGACACGATGCAGTAAAGGTATAAAATAGGGAAACTGGTGGTATTTGGGAAAAAAAAACTTTGGCACTGGAGTTCAAACCTTCAACCCACCCCCACCCCACCCTCCTCACGAAATAGAATTTTTGTGTTTGGAAAATGGACATTGCTTGTCGTTTTTTTTTTTGGAAGGTCTAAAAAAAATTCGTATACTTACCCCCCCCCCCCCCCCATTTCAATTAGCTTACGACGCCAATGAAATCGTATTTCGGGGGCGTGGTGGGTTTTGAGTTAGATTCAACTTCTTCTATAGAATCAAATTTAAATTTTCTTCCTACTATTCGTACTACATTTACTTATTTGACCCTTAGTCTTACAAAAAGTGGGTCGGCCTCTTAAATGAACATATAGTATAGTATAAAGTTATGTCTGAAAAAAGAAGCCGCTATTCCTGTGTGCCCAGAGAAAATAAATATGGAGTTTCCATCATTGGATCGGGAGATCGGATCCGGCCTTCAGAAGTTCGATTGATAAAGTATTAAGGCGTATAAGAATCTCAAATAACCCGACCCGGGTTTTCTTAAACCTAGTTTTACCAACACTCGTAGCGAACACCACACCACCTAGCGTTATAATGCCGCACTAAATTTTGACGGTTTGACAACTTCCATTCGTCTTCATTAAATATGCTTCATTGTAAGCGTGATTGAATTAATATTCGTAGTAGAGATAATGCTAATAATTTATTAAAGAAACTGTTTAAGTTTAAAAGAAAGTAGAATGAATTTACTAGAATAAAGCAACATTGAAGTAAAGACAAAATGAAGAATGATAAACAGGTCTAGGCGGCCTCTGTTTTTGGAGGATAGATTTTATCCTTTAGAAACAGAGGATGGAGGTGTCGCCACCTACATGTACCGGACTTTTCAAAACAAAGGGCAGTCTAAACCAAACAAATAACAGCAACTCTTGCATCTCAAGTCCCAGTTTATGTACCGTACTCTGATTTTTCAACCAAAACAAATAAAAGGTTAAATTTCATACGATGATGGTTACATATAGGTATTTAAATCATTTTAACAAATTTTGGTAATTTGCTGTCAATAAATTATTCATTTGAAAGCTTTGTTAAAGACCCTTTCCTGTCTAGCCAACCTCATTTTCCGGTACCATAATTATGTGTTAGCAGCATAAAAGTTTTAAAAAACATATTTTTGAAAAATTCAGTTTCATTATTATTTCATTTAATAAGACGGTAGAGGAATTTTTCTTTGAAGTTTGCTCTTCTCAGACTTCTGCACGGGACTACAGTGGGCGGAGCTACTTTCCGTTCTGGTATTAGTCTTCTATACTGTTTTATGTGTATACATCTAATAAAACTGAAATATTAAGACCCCTGAAATAAATTAGGATCAATCTCCATCTACAGCAAGGTTAGACCGTCCCCCTTATCAGTTAAGACTGACTTAAATTCAATTGCGTCTACCCGTTGTCAAAACTAATCTGACTGAAACTTACGTTGTCCGTGGAAATATATATACTGCGAATGCATGGTCCCCGTCGAGGCCTCATCTAAAAACTCTAGCGGAAGTTTAGATGCCGCACAGCTAAAAAGTGGGATTTTTTTTCTTATTTTCTCTAAATAATATTTATTTTATCTTTGCTTAAATTATCAGGCAGAGTGTATTTTGTCTTTACAGTACGTTTTCTTTTGTGTTTCCTTTTCCTCTAATCTTTAATTAAAAGAAATATGAAAGTAATGTTATTTATGTATTGTTTGAGCATTTAAGTGCCTTTTTATTTGTCCTGATAGGGAAAAAACATAAAAATTAAACAAAATAACAAGAAATATTAAGTAGAAATGAAGCGCAAGAAGTGCCAACTTTGAAAGCGTATTGTAAAAATTCTAGACATAGAATCTCAAATCGCCACATACAATTGATAGTTTAATGTCTGATCTTTTATTTAATTGTACTCTGGTGCTTGCACTTTTTGATTAAAGGTAGGCACGAGGCGTTTGAAAATTACCTGTGCTATCCTCTGAAATCAAAAGATAAACTATCCGACATTGCATTGCGATTTCCATATATGGTAAAAAATTTGGCTGCCATATTGAATCTAGCTATCCTCCAAAAACGGAGGCCGCCCAGACCTGATAAAAGTCGAAGTGAAATGTAATAAAGACGAATATGAAAACAATAAAGTGACATATAATTACAATAATAACAAAGCATAAAGAAGTAGGCAGAATAAGAATAAAAGCAAGGTACATAGAATTTTGGCGGTAATTCCCTTCCATAGTCTGCTGTGTTGATCAGGCAATACTTGATATGAAACGTATCATATAATAAATATCTCAATGTCAAATTGAGAACCACTCGTTGAACCCCACAGGTACATTTTTTCCCTAGGAACATTGCATGTATACAGTATAGTGGTTAGGGCAGATTAATAATTCATTAGTGAAAATGAAATGCAATAATGGAATCAAATATGTAAAAAGATGACACTGACGATTTTTTTTAACTCAGTAGCTGAAAATATATTTTTTCTCTATACTTTTTATATTTGCGAAATATGTTGTCTCAGAATTGGGCATTGTAAACTATAGCTCCCATCCGTGGTGATATATATTTTCCACCACTTTTGTGAATACAAGAAGACAAATTTTTTTTTGCCTGTCAATCTTTCAGTCTGCCACAAAAACTTAAATTTTGATCATGGCTTTTGAAAGAGAAGCTAGAGCTTTCATGTTTCAAATGCACAGATCTGTAACAGGTATTGCCTTGAATGACCTTGAATTTTGACCTACTTATAACAAATTAAAATCCCTCAGTCATAACTTTTGATTGAGAAGAAAGAGTGCTTTCATATTTCACATGTGTATTATTTGGGATAAAAACTTTCCAAAAACTAATATTTTTCCTTCTATGGCCTTGACCTTAAAGTTTAAACTATAGTTAATTGTCAAAAATAATAATTATAACTTTGAAAAAAAAGACAGGACACTTATTTCTTTTGAAGTAAAAAAATCAAGGCAGTAAATTTTTGCATATGTGTTAAACTTTTATTCATGGGGATATGTCAAGAAGATTTTATGCTTTGCGATAAAATTTTACACCATAACTCCCTAGGGCCCTGTCCATCCCTCTTTCAGTGCCCCTGAACCCCAAATCTAGAACTGTGTGTTCTCTTCTTTTTTCCTTAAGCAAGGGACAGAGATTCTTTGATTTACCTTGTTTACTTTTCAAGTGGGTGGATAAATGGTAAAAGCCACAGAAAATTATTGACATTTCCATTATTTGTTATATACCGGAAGGGGGGGTGGTAAACTATCTCCACTGAATAAAATTTAACCAGCCTTTCACAGAATTTTTTTTTTTATTACATTGTGTACCTTCATTTATTCGTTTTGGTCAGATAGATATATATTTGAGGTTTTCCATGGCAAAACATGGACTCTTACATTCTTTCTATTGGAATGCTTTGGAAGCTTGAGTAGCTCAGAGTGTACAGCAGCTGATTAGAAGTGAAGTGGGGCAGGGGTCTCAGGGAAGATTGCAAGTCCAGCCATAAATATCTCCCTTCATGTTACACTGTTATATTGGGGGTACACAGCTCTTATCCCTTCCACCTCCTATACCACTGAATAAAACTTATGAAACTTTTAGAGAATTGATCTTTCTTACACAGACCCACTGTGCATCTCCTATAACATAACTTGGTTTTACCTTGACAAAACATGGATTATGTTATAATACTCACATTGAGGGCAGCAAGTATAATTTGTAAGCTCAGTGCTAATGAAGTACTTCTAGTTTTATTTTTCTACAATGGACCATGAAAATACATTGAGCACTCTAGCTTCCATGCATACTGATAAAATTACTTATGGAAATTAAGTTATTTCGCCTGCACTTAGGTGAACAAAATAATCAAGCATGTGGAATGTGCAACTGATTTTGAATTTCAAAGTAAAATTTTACTGATATGAACACACATTTGGCTGGTGGCTATGTAGAAAAAAAGAAAACTTTATAATTTAAATCTCATTTAATATTCATATCAACAAAACAACATACTGCTATCATTACACTTTAAAACTTACACAATAAATTCAATTTCATTTAATATTTCATGTAGTTTGTGTATACATGTAAGCAAAAGCATGTTTCTTCAAAAGAAAATCTTGTACTTTCAATGAATACCGAACATGAAACTTTTCAAAGATATTTTACTTGTGTGTCATAAAATACACTTTTATAGTTAATTAGTTAATTTAATTAGTAATGGTGTGTTAAGATATCCTTGTTGGGAAGATAGGTAGTCCTCTGACATATTCATCCAGTTTGTTTTGAAACAATTCACTTGTGATGGGTTGTCCTAATTCACATTGTGGATTCCGAATCACATATTCCACATATATCTGGAATTTAAAACAAATGAAATAGGTGAAGATAACGAAAAATGGCCAATTTAAAAAATATATACATATATTGAGAATATAAATCTGTGAAGTGAACTAAAACAAATACCCCTGGAAATCATAGAGGTGGGATCAGGTGCCTGGGAAGATTAAACATCCCTTGTTGACCTGTAGGGCTGGGAATGTATATCGAAATATCGATAGGATGATACACATATCGATACACTTGAAAAAATATCGAATTATTGCCCCAAAAATTTGACTTCTGTTTACTTTGTGTATTAACATTTGGGTTTAATATAAAAAATAAATATTAAGTTAAATATAAATATAGATATGAAATAAATAATAAATTTCACCACTTGAGTAAAATGTTTTTGTTTTACAACATATAAACAACTATTTTGAATAAATTATTCTCATTTGCAAAGAAATAATTTGTTTATTTCAATGTAAAAAAAGGTTTCATAAGCTATTAAACATCTTGTGATACATATCGTATCGTGGCTCAAATATTGTGATACAAATCGATATAGAAAAAGTTGTATCGTCCCAGCCCTATTGACCTGTCACAAATGTTTGACATACCCTTTAATAAAGCCCTTTAACTTATTTTAAAACAATTCTATTTGATAGTAATAATATATGTCTCACATAAAAGAAGCAAATAAAATATAGTAAACAACTCACAGTGCTGTAGATTTGATGTAAAACATCTTTGATGTTCCCCACTGATAAATCAGTTGTCATGATAAACTTCATACCACTAGGTGTCTCATAGAAATTCAGTTTGTATCTGCTAGTTCTAAAGCTTGAAAATCCTTCTTTTCTGTTAAAAAGTTAAGGTAAATCAAGCAATTTAAAATACCTGGTATTTGAATGAGAAAAGCCTTACAAATAAAGTCACGCCTGCTAATCGATCACTTGCACAACCAGCAGTTGTGTATAACAATCAAAAGAGATCGATTTCCGGTTGTGCACAGGTTGTAAATGGACTCGATTCAGGCAATAATTTATATTTTTATTAAAATATAAGAATGTGATTCCATGAGCAATTTATTTTTCTTTAATTTTACACTCTCATAAAATGCAGTGATTGTCGATTAGCGACTATATTTGTTTTGAAGCAAGGACTGGTAGAGCGAAAACGCTGATTGAAATCAGTATTCGCCGACTAAAATTCATTTTAATCTCAACTAACCTTGAATATTCAATGTCCACCATGAGTATGCTACAAGTGCATCCTATCCACCAAAATTGGGACTTCGATTTGTGTATAATTTGACAAATATTAGAAGAAAATAACATTGCTTGTGCATGCGATCATTCAGTTGTGAAAGAGATCTCGGGTTGTGCATGAGATGAAGGACAAAAAGTTTCAAACTTTACGAATAAAATTAAACATTATATAATTATAAGGTAGTCTTGCAAAATTTAAAACATAAAGCTATAGAATTTTCTTGCAAATAAGTTGAATTTGTGAGAAAAAAAGATATATAAGTAAACTGTTGAAGTATATCTGTTAGGGGAGGGGGTTAAAGTTTCAGTTACAATCAATATAATTACAGTAAAAAATTATGTGTGTATTATTTAAATCACAAATCTTATGTGAATTATCCAATGCATCTTTAATATGATTATTCCGTATGCAAAAAAAAAAATAAATAATAAAAAAGAGAGATAAAATAAAATTAAAAAAACAGCATATACTGGGCAGTATATCATTTTCTTTCAGTATGAAATTGTTTAACTCAAACATATCTTACCTTTATTTGGCGGTACTTCAACAAAAGTGGAGGGAAAGACCGAATTTTTCATGCTTTCATTTCATATATACATGTATTTTATAGTAAAAGTGCTGTCTGTGAAAAAAATAAGAGACAGGCTCTCGATGATATGTGTTTGCCAAGGGGTAAATATTTCCTGGTGTTTTGAAGCTAGGTATCCTGAATTTCGTTATCGACATGGAAAGGATCAAGATGACAACACCACATTACAGGTGCTTCTGGACAGGACACCCCCCGGACTTGTTGGGCACTTTTTTTCTCACAAATTATATTCATTACATTTATTCATCATGTGTACCATAGGGGAAAATCGTCAAAAATCCAAAATAATCGTTCAATAAAACATATCCCTATTAAACATTCCAAATAAAATTCATGTAAAGCACCAAATCAGCCGCAAAATTAATAATTTCAAAAATTACTAGTACTTTTTTTATTTCAAAAGCATCAATGCATGGGAAGCACAAAATATTCAAAGCTGAAATAGATCAATTTCATTTCAGACTGTCTTCAAAGCAAAAATAAATAAAATGTTTTTTTTAATTAAATAGAAAATTTTAGTGAATTTGTTCATCAAATGGAGTCATCAATGAATCAATAAAAAAGTCAATGATGAATTATAAGAATGTATGAATGAAGATGTAGGTCTCTCAAGATGAACCACATGCCGAAACCCTGGATCTTTATCACGTGATAATACCCATGGTTTCTGCAGTGGGCTAATCAAGGCGCGTAGTTTGATGGAAAATGTAAGAAAAATATTTGTTGTCACATCTGTAGCACATTTAGCTGCAGATCTGTAGCGTTATGGTTTTATATATTTGTCTTTGAGCCAATATATATATTTTATCCACCTTTCAACCATATATAGTTGTCTCTACAGGCAATAAAATCTCTAGAAGTTAATTTTCAGCAATATAAAAAATAATTTTAATCAAGCGAGTTTATCACTTGTAGAGACGAGTATAAAGAGTTGGGAGGTGTATAAAATATACATATTGGCTACAGAATGTGTGTAGAACTAGGGAGTGAAAGGTAGTTGATTGACCAATGCTTGAAAGTAGAGGAATTCTCCCCCAAAACGCGCAAAAAATATTGCGCCGTAAATTGCCCTTTTTTGCATTACAGGCTCTGTAGCGTTATGGTCAAAGACAAATACATGTATATAAAACTATAACGCTACAGATCTGCAGCTATAGCACATTCAAAACAATTTTTACAACAGTGTTGTTGAAAAACTTTTCAATCTTTATTCACCTTGCAACTTTAACCACTTCATTATTATCTGGAAAATCATGGCAATTTCCTTTCATATCTTGATTACTCCCTGGTTAGGGAGTACCTATTGTAAACTCTTTCTATATAACCATATATTATTAATTACTCAGTAAGAAATGACAATGAAATTGTAACAACAACAATAAATGCTCAGTTTAAATAAAGTTTTTAAAATTAAGACTGATTAGTTTACAGAACTTATGAAAAATAACGCCTCATTTCCCGATATAAGAGATCGGCCGCTGCTGCTGAAAAAGTCAAAATGTGCTTGCAAATATGAATGTACATCATTGGCGGATCTAGAAGATGGTTCCTGGGGTTGGACCCCCCCCCTCCCCCCTCTATTTGATTGGAGAGAGTTATGTAAAACAAAACAGAATAAAATAAATACTTTGAATAAAAAAAAATTCGAATAAAATAAATACACTGTACATGTCGTTCAATCTCTGTCCTTTCTGGTCGCTATAAATAAAGTTCCCTCGTTTAATATGCTTTCCTCCGAGCCCTACTTGCTTGTTTGTGTTTTTGTTTTGTTTGTTTGTTATTGGATTGTCAAAGTCCCCCATAGAACTGTTGAAAATTCAGTGTTGCCATGTTTGAAGTGCCTATTTGCATGAGTGTTGGACACCTGGACACCCTCCCCCTTTTTTTCAAAAAGTGCTGGATCTGCCCCTGCGATGTCTTCATACTGTAAATCACTTTTTATTCGCGAGAACTTTATTTTCGCGTAATTACGCGAGACAGTGTACTCGCGAAAATTAAATTCTCGCGTATTATAGTATTCCTTAAGAACATATAGAGCGATGACCACAGTTCGCGAAAATTTTGTCTCGCTAATCAAGAGTCAATGACTATCTCGCGAAAATAAGGTGTCGCGAAAATTTTGTGATCTACAGTATTATAGACAATATTTAACGCTTTATAATTACGAAAAATAAAATATAAGAGGTGAATTATAGATATTGTATAATACTTGCGTAACTTTTTATCCTTTATCTCATGCATAACCCGAGATCTCTTTCACAACTGAATGATCGCATGCACAAGCAATGTTTTTTTCTTCGAATATTTGTCAAATTAAACACATATTGAAGTCCCAGTTTTGGTGGATAGGATGCACTTGTAGCATACTCATGGTGGACACTGAATTTTCAAGGTTGGTTGAGATTAAAACGAACTTTAGTCGGCGAATACTGTTTTCAATCAGCGTTTTCGCTCTACCAGTCCTTGCTTCAAAACAAATACAGTCGCTAATCGACAATCACTGCATTTTATGAGAGTGTAAAATTAAAGAAAAATAAATTGCTCATGGAATCACATTCTTATATTTTAATAAAAATATAAATTATTGACTGAATCGAGTCCATTTACTACCTGTGCACTGGAATTATTCGCATCAACTGCACAACCGGAAATCGATCTCTTTTGATTGTTATACACAACTGCTGGTTGTGCAAGTGATCGATTAGCAGGCGTGAAAGTGCTAGACTACTTAAAAGGTGATAAATGTTGAATGGCACAGGCACTTGATGGTACATTTTTATTTCTTATCAATAAAAAGAATTTGAATCCCATACCTCATTATAATTATTAGGCATTGGACATTTTTTCCATAAGAAAAATGAGTAAGAGTCTGCAAAATTGAAGTTGGACAATTTCCTTATAATGTAAAACTTGAAATTCTTTCAGTTTTTAAATGTGCTCTTTAAAAAAGGAAACAAAAAGTTGAAACTTTAATAGATGATTACTTGTATTTTTGTCAATTTTAATTATAACCTAGCAAATTTTTCCACATTTGTATCATATCATGACTTCCAATGTTATGTGGTTACAGTACATATGTTATACACAATTTTTTTTCTGATTTATTAGAGGAATTGTTCTAATTAAGGATACAAATCCGTAGGTGAAATCCTCTGTACAAAAGACTTTATGGAATGTATCATGCCATACATCAACTTGAACTCCTGCAAAATAATAAAAATATGCAAGTGTAGACATGGTAGAATAATTTGAAATACTTTTGTCTATGATACTGTATACAATGTACAAGGAAATCTTAATTTGGCCCTGCCTAATTTTCACTCCTTTCTGCTTATTAATGTGGGCGAATTTGAAACAGGCGTCCTGGCGATTTATAAGAACACAATATGATTTCTTAAACAAAACTGTGATTGGTTGAATTTAAAGTGGGGCATTAAAATTCTTTGCAAGTGTTAAAGGCTGAAAATAACAAGGGGCAAAAAATAACCCTGTATGCAGTACTGAAGTTCAACTGTATTTGCGTTAATCTAAATTTCCAAACTGTTGCATTTTAGTACTATGGTTCATTTCTATAGGAATTAAAAGGAGAACAATTAATTAAAGTATTAATTTGAAGCAGACTATTGCTGAAACTGTGCAGTATCAGAGTTTTAAATGAATAGCATATTGCCAAGAAAAGTCAATAACTTGATATTTTATTGGATTTCAACCTTTCAGAGGTAAGAAATGAAAGTTTTATGGTGATAGGGAATTAAACGGACATCCAGAGCAAAAAGTTGAGGTGGATCGACAGCTAATTTATTTCAGCCTGTATTGATGGAAACAAGCAATCGAAGTCTGTGCACAAAACCCCAGATGAGATTATGTGACACTGGTCTGAGATCGGTTGAGACACCTGGCCAGATCAAAATTTTTTATTCAGATCTCGCTGAGATTGCCCCTTTTTTTGTCTTCAAAATCATTTCAGAGAGGATCCGCTCTGATTTGCTACATTGCAAGTATGTGGAACGTATTCTAACTGTGATGAGGGCTTGTACCTATACACAGTTAGATTACTCTAACCAACATAGACCTATTTATTTAAAGCTACAGTACAAAATGCAATTTGCAATGAACATTCAGTCTGTCTTTTTCACAAGGCAAATTAAATGTCTTCAACTTGAAAGGGATTTCGGTATACATGTACCTCATCTTTGCTCATGCCCGACTGCTTTTTCCTATTCCACTCAGTGTAGTACAAACACGTTCCATTTCTGTCAAATATGTATAGGGTGTACACTGTCATTTTGATTAGCGGAAGTGCCCAGCAACAACTTCTTTCGTTTCTGACGCAATGAAAAATAGTTTTATTTTAGATTTTCAAGTTCCAAAAAATATGCAGAGATTTTACTTTTTTGTGAAATAAATGATGTTAATCCTTAAAAATTTAACTAAATTATTCTAAACTTTTCAAAAAATGGATCAATTTTAAACCGGAAGTCAATATGTTTTGCGGATGAATTTTAAGGAATAATTTTCAAAACATGTTTTAGCGAATCATGCACAGGTAAACTGGGATTATTTACATTATCCATAAGACGATTTCACTTAATGATCAACAAACATGTACATAGTAAAATCCTACAGAAAGTAGCGCATGCTTTAAATTTTGTGCGTATTTTCGTGATTGACACATAGGCCTAGTTTTATTGCATTTCGAATTTTCTCTGTTGTTTACCTGAGCAATATAGTGCCATTAGTAGCATAAATGACATATGTTTCGTAGTAAAAGATGCCAGGCATTAGTATTTGTATAAATGTATGTAGCAACTTATTTTAATTCGATTAACGGAGTTTCTACATGACATCATTCATAATTTTAAAATAAAAAGTATACTCTCGTGTGCCCATATTTCGACGGTCTTTCAATGTATTGCAATATTTTATCTTATGTAAGCAAGAATCCATTGAAATAAATTGAGCTGTAAATACATCATTCAAGTTGTATTCTTTCCTGTGTAAAGATATATCCAATTAGTCTTATCTACTTCTATTGGTGATGAGTTCGAAAGTGACATAAAAACAATGGGCGCCGCCATTACCGAGTCCTAATTTCGACGGTTACGTCATCGATCGATATGCAAGCAATCAGGAAGGCCAAGCAAAACAAATTTTTAGTAGAAATGAAATTGGATTATTTTTTTATGCAATATAAGGTTATTTAATGGCCACTATTGTAAATTTAACACTTGATTTCATCATTTTGTCACTCCTCAATGCAATGACGACAGATGAATTAGACATACGAGGCAGATAACCTGTGTGCTGCAACAGTATTTCAGTCTCAATATTGACAAGGCACCCCAATCTTCATTCCATCATACTGGGCCCATTTTGTGAATAAAATGTTGTCATAGTTGAAAATTTGTTATGGCACAATGTGCAATATACACACAGATATGGTGTGTACAACATGTAGTTTGATGTCTTTATTTTTATAGGATAAGCCAACAAATATAACCAATAGGTAAACTAATATCACCTTATCTTTTTTTTTTTACATATAATACCTTATAAAGTTATTAAATATCATTTTAGTACCTTGTTAATGTAGGTAGAGAATGAAATAATTTTGTTTTAAAAAGTATGAAATGGTGAAAGAGTTTAAAAGAAACAAAATGTAATACCGTATAAGTAGAATTTTTAGCGAGGATTTAATTTTGGCATTATTAGCGAGGGTGCTGACATCGCTCAAATTGAATATCGCTAAAATTTAATTGCGTATTATTTGTAATAGCTTCTTTAGTTAGCAATTTAAAATCGCTAATATTAATTCTCGCTAAAAATAAAATACCAGATTTTAGGTAGAAATCGCTAAATTTGCGTCTCGCTAAAATTTCCACTTATACGGTATTCTAAGCATTGAAATAATTCTATGTAAAGATTCATTGTATTACTTAATTAAAAGGGAAAAAAAGTATTAAAAAAGATAGGAAGAAAATACAATTACATTTTCAGGATATTGCAGATGATACCAAAAATCATTAAAATTTAAGTATAACAACACTCTTAGTCATTGTGTTTTTAATTCAAAATATGATAAATTCATTATTTTCTTTTTAAAAAATATAGTTCTGATAAATTCAAAATAAAATTGGCTTGGCCTTATTTTCCATAACTTAGTCGCGCGAATTTCATTACTGAATTGTCAGTCTATGCAGACGGCATTTGGCAAGTTATTTGTAGCAAACATATTCCAGTAATCAGATTTCATATCTGTGTCAAAAAGTGATATTACGCAAGGCAGACATTCCCCCCCCCTAAAATTATATGAAATGAAAGCTTTCCTGTTTGAAATGTATTTTCATCCATGATATAGGTAATATAATCGCAAGTGTACAGGGGTACTATGTTTACACAGACCAGCCTGATCTCGCGAGAACGAACCCGATATACACAAAAAAAGAAAACCGTCGAAATTCGGACCCTGTCGAATTTAGGACCTTCGACCATATACTCGATTCTCATTATATCGCGGGTTCCATAGTATCGCGGTATATTCCAAAAAATCATATACACAGCTCATATCATTTTTGTGGATAAATCTATCTATCTGTCGTCTGAATGTAAATTTTTGTGATGATTACAAAGAATGGAACATGCGTCGGAAAAGTTTTAATTCAAATAAAACGTATTTTTCCAGATTTCCATTCCTGTTTTTAGTATATTTAGACCACTGAATTTATAATCTAGTAAAATGCATAATAAAGTTCATGTTTTGAAAGTCTTTAGTTTGGATGATTGTTTATTTTTTATGTAGAATTACATCGTAAAATTAAAAATAAGAATTGAAGTCCATGTCAAAAACAAGGTGGCATGTTTCTCCATACCGCGATACTATGAGACTCTCCAATTTAGGAGGTAAATAAGACTTCCTGTTTTAAAAATAGACTACAAATTAAACGATGCAAACTTGGGAAATAATTTGATACTAAAAGGATAGGCCATAGTTTGGTTTATGAATATCATTTGATGAAAGTTTAAGTAAACAATTGGAATTACACTTTTTATGCAAAAATTTTTAAGTACCGCGATATAATGAGACACCAGTATACATCTGTTTGTAATAGAAATATATTCTTTTTTAAATGTACCAGTGTTAATTTTGTTAAATTGCATTTTAGGTAAGTTGACACAGTCAAATAAATTTTTAACTTATGGAAGACCTGCAGGATAGCTTGGAAGAGTATGAAGTGAATGAAGGAATTCCTACTGTGATTAGCAGAAATTCAGCCAGAATGGCAGATTACAACATGGACAGAACACAGTCTAACGCTCCTATGAACTTGATGCAGACAGGTCCATTTATGGTACAGGAATCCCTTGCACCTACTGGTGGGGACTTTGATTTCACAAGAATCGGTATAGAAGAGAATCAGACTAGGTCGAGTTTAGTCTATCGACGGTCAGGCCCTGAAGGAAGTCCTGCCTTTAACACCAGCAGTGGGTTTCTGCCTCAGAGAACAACAGACGAGGAATCCGTCATCTTCAGGCCTGTTGGTCAGCTGGATTTCTCCGCTCTGGATGACACAGAAAGAAATGAAGACCTGAGCAGAAACAGATCGGTTTCAATGCCCCAGAAGAATCCCCCACAGGGTTCCTATTTGGTCGCAGAGAGAGAGGAGGTGTATGGATCACAAGACATGGATAATAACAACTCGCGGAATGACTCGCCTGCTGCTGGATTTTTTGAAATGAATCAGTCTCCTCGCCAGAGCAGCGAAAGTGAGGAGGAATTGGACAGTCGTGTGATATTTTCTCCCTTACGTAAAATGGAGAATGGGGACTCGACAGAAAATATTTCAAGGTTTGAATTTGAGCGCCATGTCGTTGCCAGTAATAAATTTCAAAATGAGGAACAAAGATTTCATGAACCTTCACTTGCAAAGACCTCACCTAATGAAATGGGTAAATATAGTCCTGGGGCATTGCAAAAAACAAAATATATGATGTCACCAGGGGAGATAAATGTTAGTAGAAATCAACAAATTGTATCCCCTGTGTCACCTAAGAATAGACCTAACATGGAGAGAAGGGAGGTATTTGTATCAATGCCTGCTGTAGATCAACACAGAGAAAGTATTGGAACCCCACCAAATGCTGCTCAGAATACTTCAATGCAACACCAACCAGAAATCCAGAGGGAACATGTTGGTAAAGAACAACAAATTCACACTCAAGAACCTAAAGTGACTCATGTACATATTCATAGCAATGCATCATGGGATATTCCAGTGTCTGAGAGTTCACAGCAAACTCACGACAAAACATCGAAACATCCACAGAAAACGTTGAACGAGAGGCGTCCCTTTGTGTCCTCTGTAAGAAGCGAGTCCTACAATGCTTTTCTACAAAGCAAAGATTCCCATCTACCAAGGCCCAAAACCAAAGGTTCTGATGCTACAAAGTCAGCAGCAGACACTTCCAAAATAAATACTCAAAGACCTGAAAATTCCAGGCAGGTTGCCGGTGAAAAGAAAATTTCTGGACCGATTCCTTCTCATGCTGAGAGTCGGATCATGGCAAGAAGAAACATGGCTGCCGGCCAAAGTGAGCGACAGGTCAAGACTGATCAATCGAGGAAGACCATGGAAAGTATGGAGGAGAGACATTCAAGGTCATATCAAGGTGGTGTCAAGGTCAACGATCATTCTCCAGTCCATCCAGCGGCCAATGTAGTGACCCAGGTACAGCATTATCATTCTGAGGGAGAGGAGACCACTCACACTCATAGACAGGTCAAGGTCAGTTTTGAAAATTTTCATGTGTCTTAGTTCAGTTTAATTGGAGTTAAAACGTGGAAAAAGAGGGTGTATTACCTTTAATGTTATCTACCCGGTACTTGTAGGACAATGTTGATGTAAAGGGAATGGAAGAGGTCCGGTATCAGTTACAGAATATGCTCAAGTTTTCTGCTGCATCAGGTCTGGGTAAGTATGGGGTCAAACTGTGGAATACATGCAACCAGTTGGTTAGAAGTTTTCACTAAAAGCTTTGTGATTGTAAAGAAGTTATTGTCTGTGCTGAATAACTAAAATGCATGCCCCTTGTATAATCTTTTCTGGTGGAGGTTCAGTGTACAGGTGTTGATTTTTACAGGTGAAAATCACATGGACTACAATGATAATGGGTTTATGCAGGAGATGCAGTCAGCCCCTGAAATGATGCACAATCCCGGAGATTACTCCATCATCAGGTACAAATACTAATAAACATGAAAATTTCATACAATGATCATTTTGCCTGTAGTAAACATTGGGGAATAAACATTCTCATTTTCTTATTTACTGTATCAATAAGATTAAGTGAAAAGGAACTTAATACAGATAAATATTTTCATTGATTCACAGTGGTAAGGGCGGAGAAGATGTGTCAGAAATATTGGAAAATTTTCCGAGTTTTACGTCTAAAATGTGGTCCGAGTCCTCCAACCAGAGCAGGAGTGAATCCTCCCTGTACGCGGAGAACCAAAGATTGCGGGAGGTGATGGAGAAGGAACGCTACAGGAGAAAGGTACACCTATACTGGGAGGGTTTATAAGAGGGGGTGTTTATGGTTATAAAGTACAGCCATACTAAAGGGTTTATAGGAGAAGGGGATCAGTGAAAAAGATACAGTCATACAGGAGCATGATGAGAGGATGTAGTTCACTGATAATGGAGGTAGTAAAGGGGAGGGAGTTTTCTAATAGATAAGTAGAACATATATTCAAAGAGCATTTATACTGATATTTTATACACAATGTATACAGTTTGATTAGCTTATGGTGTTTCTTACTGACGGCTGTATTCATACCAGACTGGAAAGGTGTAATGTTTCATTTTAGATTTATTCATTTAAAATAATTTGTTAAAGTAATTCTTTTTCACTGCATTCCACAGTTTAATCCTGTTGAAAATACCAAATATAACTGCATATTACAGTACAAGTTGTAATATCCACTCCTTTTACATTTTCAGCATTGTGAGCAATACATTCAGAAGCTGAATGTAAAGGTAGGTCAAAATTTTATAGTACAGCATAATGTAAAGCAGTTTCATTTATGAATATAATATATACTTATATGTATATTACTGGAAAATTTTTAGCTAAAATTAAGGCTTAATTCACTTTGTCATGGAAGAAATATGATTTAAATAATGCTACTGTACATGTGACATGATAGTTAAGGTCATACGCAATGTAGTTTGAACTTTATTGGATTCTTCCTTGGAGTTGAAGAGTTCCACTGAATGAAGGACCCGTGTGCAATTAATTTTAATATCTATATATGGATTTGTACACCTCTTCTAAAACAATTTTTGATAAAAAAAATTCTGGAATTTTTGTGCACTTTTCTTTGAATAATGCAAAAATTTTCTCAATTTGATATCTTTTCAAAACCCCTGGTAATGCATGCTGATTTTGTGTCGAAGAACATATAATGATATTGTAAGTTTAAATTTAGAATATCTTGAAAAATTATCAGTACGTGAGGTACGTTGCGTATGTCCTTAAAGCATTGCTGTCCGTTTGTTCCAGTCACATTAAATGCCTCATCATTTGATTTTTTTGTCACACTTTAAAAAAACATAGATCTTTTTGATAAATCAGAAAAAAAATTGAACTGTGATATTGCAAACAGCACAAAAAAGGGTGATAAAGAAATCTCAAATTTGAAATCTTAAATACAAATATGCCTGAGAGCAAACATTTGGGAAAGACTTTGTGTTGTGATGTTACTTTGCGATTACGTTTCAGTTACTGGAGACACAACAACAGCTAGCTGTGGCCATTTCTACAGACAAGAGGAAAGATATCATGATAGAACAGTTAGACAAGGTAAGTTAGGGGCAGTGTAGTACTGTAAATGTGGTTACTTGGAAGGGTGATAAAAGTGAGTGGAATCTTTGATAATTTATTAGTATCCAATAGTGCTCTTTAACAGGAATGTGGAAGTTGACAAATGGAATCTTTAATGTTTATTAGAGCTTTGTCAAAGTTTCCTCTTTTCAGTACTTGTACATACACTCAAATAATGTAGCAATTTATGAGATGCTTAAAGGATGTTAGTAATTACCAAAAAAATTATTTTTGTAGCAACTTGCTAAAGTTGTGGAAGGCTGGAAGAATCGGGATGAAGAAAAAGAAAGTATGCTGATAAAGTTAAGAACAGAGAAAGTGAAAATAGAAGAGAAACTAGCCAAACAGAATGAGGTAAGGTTAAAGTGTCAATTATCTTACATTTTTTGCATCAAGTTGGCTCATCAAAATTATTGGGAAGTGGCTGTTTAGTTCTCGACTGTTTCTTGCAAGAACTTGATATTATATTTTTCAGACGTGTATGGGATTAAATAAATGTAATGCTAAAATAGCTTATATCTATTCTTAATGAATTCTTTTGGCATGGGAATTTGTCTCGGTTAGAATTACATTTATGAAGATTGGCAGTTCTTGATTTTCTTAAGTTTCTCATGATAATACATGTATTTCCAAATAAGTAAAAATTAAGATGTTTGTATTTATTACAAACATATTTCAGATGATTAAAAACTTTGAGAAAGACATGGCAGAAGCCTTACAACAGATGAGAGATGAGAAAGACAGAGCCAGTATTGAGATTGACAAACTGAAGGCTCAGGTAAGTCAAATTCTGGCAGAGTACTTGTAAAAACAAAGTAGAAGGAAATTCTCAAGAAAAAATTAAGGTACACAAAAATATGATTGTTTATATAGTGCATTTTAAATGACGATTGTGTAGATATCGGAGAAGGAGCGAGCTCGTTTCCATGCAGAGGAAATGCTGGATGCTGAGCGCGAGCGGACTCAACTGATCAACCAGGAGTGGGAGAATCTCAAAGAGGCTCGAGACATGGCCGAGAAAAAGGTCCAACAGCTACAGGATCGTCTCCGCTCGGTGTGTACAAATTCATCCAGATTCTCATCAATTCAGAGGGTTTAGAATTTGGCTTGGTCTCAGGATTGACTTAGTTTTAAAATTCAAAATATTTTTCAGTTTCTAATGGTCCTTTTTATCAGTTTTACTGATTTTATCTCTTTGAAGTTTGATTTTTCTCCATCTTGTATCTTGTCCTGTTGGTCATTGATGATTATTTTTTACTCTTGACCATCAAAATAGACATCAATATTTTTAAATTAATTATGATTTGTTTAAGTTTCATTGGTATACTTCAACGTTAAGTAAATTTTGAGTGTGGATTCTAGGAACAAGATGATTGGTTCAAAAGAGAGCAGGAACTGTTACAGAAGATAGATGAAGTGTCCGAGAGCAACCAGAAAGTCCTGAATCAAGAGAGGGTAAGTAAAATCAAGGGAGGGTCATTCTAGTGGATGGGTCACTTTATAAATGTTATCCTGTACTTGAGAAAGCTATCATATAATCTCCTATGGTATATGAGTATAATGTTTGGACATCATTGAATCAGATTTACACGCATATCATAATTACAAGAGATATATATGTGTAGAGATGCACATGTATTTCAGGTATATTGTATTTGAGAATGTTTTCTGTGTATGTGTCTGATTAGACTAAATATTTGCATACTAGTATAATATACATGAAGAAGGATATGGAATATATTGCATAAAGTTAATTACAATGATAAATATACTTCACAAAAACCCTGATCCTTTCTTTTATCTCTGTATCTGATGTTAGTGACATTCCATGTTTTACAGGAGAAGTCAGAGGAGGCTGTGACCCTGTGTAAAGACATGGAAGAGAAGATCTACTCCCTCCAGACTGAGAGTAGGAAATATCAGATGGAGCTGGATGCGGCCATCAGGGAAAAGGTGTCAGATAAAAACACCTAATAAATAAAACTTTCCCAATGAGTTCGCAATTTTCAATTCTCCTAAAATAAGAACCCTGATCTTTTTTTTGCTGAGATATTAAAAAGTCTGTAAATGTATAGGGAACATCGTTAGACTTCTGTAAATTCTAATCAAGATTTGAATTCTTTGTTACAGGAGAGTATGAAGGTAGAGATGGGCATTATGGAGGCCAAGTTTGAGAGTTCACAGAGGACCCTAGAGGCCGAGTTACAATCCAAGATGGAGAAGGAGGTAGGGCCATATTACTCTTTTCAGTAGACTAGAGAACAAAATCTTTTCTTTTTAAGGAAAGAATTGATAAAATTGTCAAACAACTGTTTGAATTTTTTTTATGTACAATTCATAAGTTTAAAATATAAATTGCAATTATTTAAAATTTGACTGAGGATGGGTTTTACATGAATACACATAAAAATACATGATTCACGACAAAAAATGTTCACAAGCAAGATAAAGTAAAGAAACAGATATTTCATAAACACAAATAAAATGTGTTTACAGTATTTTATGCATATGTTCTGTATTTATTTAATGGCATACAATGTACTAGAAAGATATACTAATCTGTGACGCACTATACGTAAATACACTTGGGACAAAAAAAACATGCATGCACATATGTCTTTGTTCATAAACATGATTTATTTTATATTTTGTAGCTGTATTTATGTCCTGTCTAAGATTTCTTACTTTTCTTTAAGATTGCGGATCAGATAGCAGAGATTCACAGGAAGACAGAGGAATCAGAGACAGAACTACGGCAGAATCACAGACAGCAGATAAAGGAACTGAATCAGAGGTACACCAAAGACATGGAGCGAAACCTGGCCAAGTTCCACAGCGACCAGAAGAACAGGGAAGAGGAGTTCCGAAAGCTTACACTGGAATACGAGGAAAAGTAAGAGATGCTTAAAAAATCAGAAATAAGTTTAGTTTTTTGCTGTGCTGAAATTGATCATGCATGTAAGTCTGTTCGAAGACAGGCGAGCTGATACATGTATATTTAGATAACCAGGCCAACATTCATGGTCCAAATAATCATACTGGTATCTTATGAATCTTTAATTTTAGATTGCAAGAGCAGAGGAATGAAATAACATCTCTTCATACAGTTAAACAGAAACTAGAGTCTCAAAGGTAAGGTATTGAAAATGTTATAACTAGTGTATTCAATTTAAAAGTCTTTGTATCCACTTTGCCCATTGGTTTAAAAGTGAAAATGATGTATATGATCTCTATGGTAGGTCAGAGATTCTAATGAAACTCCAGTACATGATGCAGTCTCAGTGGAATGAAGCCGTACAGATGTTGGCCACTACTCCTCAGAGAAAGGTCAGAATTTGGAGTTTAGTGATAATGTACAAAATATATATTACTTCAAGTCAAGTTTTCATTTTTGTGGTTTGACTGTACCAATTAAAAGGAAATTGACTTGAAATCTATTTTCTCAAATTAAAACTATCAATTGTACTCTGAAGAGCTTTTTATGCGCCCGGATCGATAGATCCAGGGCGTATATTGTTTTTGTCCTGTCTGTTTGTCTGTTTATCTGTTTGTCTGTTTATCTGTTTATCTGTTTGTCTGTTTGTCTTTCTGTCTGTTGTCAACTTTAACCTTCGCCATAACTTTTGAACCATAAGAGATAAAGACTTCATATTTGGTATGCATACTCCACTAATAAAGTCCTTTCAAATGACATCAAGGTCAATGACCTTGTGACCTTGACTGTGACCTTTATGTTAAAAATAGCTTTTTCCACTGTTTGTCATAACTTTTGAACCATAGGAGATAGGGACTTCATATTTTGTATACATACTCTACTAATAAAGTCCTTTCAAATGTCGTCAAGGTCAATGATCTTGTGACCTTGACTGTGACCTATATGCTAGAAATAGCTTTTTCCACTTTTTGTCATAACTTTTGAACCATAGGAGATATTTGGTATGCATACGCCACCAATTAAGTTATTTCAAACGACACCAAGGTCAATGACCTTGTGACCTTGACTGTGACCATTATGCTAAAAATAGATTTTTCGAACTTTGTTGCTGCCGGGCGCATAGTGTTTCACAAACACATCTTGTCTTGAAAATACTTTTTATGACTTCTGAAATCTTGATAAAGCAAATTCCTTTGAAAGGGAAAAAAAATAAGCATTTATGCTTTAACAATTTCTTGTAGACATACGCTAGTACATCCTTTAGTTCCCAGACTAACACCACTACGAGTGCAGCCCTGAACACCAGTATTCCTAGTCAGGGGGCGTTCCCCATCACCAGCAGTCCGGGAAGGGACAGTCACACTGCCCCGCCCCTAGAGCCCAATATCAGTGACCTGACCACCTCCCTCCACATGCAGCAGTTCTTCCAAAGGTAGACATATTTTAAAAGTGTGTGGATAGATTAGAAAATTTTCATTTAATTACTAAAAACAGGTTATTGATCCAGAAAATGGATCTATGCTAAATAAATCAACAATATACTGTAAACCAACTTTTATTCGCGACGCCTTTATTTCGCGATTTACCAGGGGTAAACTAGTTAGAGACGACTAATTTTCGCGATAAAGCCTTTTTTGATCTGTTTCAAATAGACAGAGAGACTTTAAGTACTGGTTCGCGGCGAGAAATATTCGCGATAACAAGGCTGTCGCGAACTTTGCGATAATTTCTCGCACGCGAATAAAAGTTGGTTTACAGTACTGTAAACGAATTGCATTTGGCTGTGTATTCTCTTTAGCGGCTTTGGCAGAACACAGCAACTGCTAAATCAAGTACAACGCTAAATGTCTTGCACATATACACATAAATAAGAAAATGAAGAAATGCACTAAATCAAATCTACGCTAACTTAATATTCAAAAGTCAATTACCGCCAAATATTGTACATGCTAAATATAATACATTATACAGTATTTACTTTGATTAAAATCAGTGTTTTCATTGATTGCCATTGAATTTTCTTTCTGCATTAATATAAATTGCTTTTGGACTATTTAACAATCACCTAATGACACCTGAGTTGAAGAATTATGATAACAATCTTTATAAAATGCTTTGTAGTCTTTCACAACCTCTGGTTTTTCCACATACATCCATGCAAGCAGAAACCAGCACAAGCTCTAGGAATCCACCAGCCATCAGCGAGAGGAGGGTAGGCGAAACTTCTCAAGTTACAGAATCGCTGTTCAATGGAGTGAAAAACTCTTCTGAAGTATTCCATCGGAGGGAACAAGAAGACAGAGCATTACATAATGGCCTACAGGAAGACAGGGTACAGTCCAATACTCAGGAGGAAGAGCATGAGACAATCCACAACTGGCTTAGAAACTCTCAGGAAGACAGTTTTAGGACAGGGGCTTCATTTATAGCTGCTGAGGATATCAGGAGTTCTAATCTGTCTGTTTTGGAGTTGGTGGGAAAGTTTCAAGGGCCTGGTCCACAGCAGGGTTCTACAGGTTTTTTACCTAAGATCTCGGACTCTGAGTCTCACCCAATCAGTGTGCCTGTTTCTCATCCACCCACTGCTGTTCCCATCAGGCCTCCTCAGCATGGGAATAGCCAATCAACCAATCAGGTTAATTCTCAGTTTGTCTCATCCAATCGTGTTCATGATAGGAGTTTTGAAAGTGCTAAGTCAGCCAATCAGAAAGAGGATCAAGCATATCCTGGAAGATTTGCTCAGAGTTTGCCAGTGAGAGGAAGAAGTGATTCTCCAACACTCTCACAGCAAAGTAAAGGTGAGTTGATAAAAATTTTGTGTGTGATCAGAAATTAAAATATTTGTAGAATAGAACTTCCACTTAGAAAGTTATATTTTTTTGCAAAAATTAGTAAGGAAAGAAACTTATTAATCTTATCAGATGTTAATGATGGTTTATGTTTGCTAACATGGTTCTATTCTTACCAAGGGAAGCAACTTATGACATGAAATGACACAATCAGGTTATTATATTGATATATTTTATACAGAAGAGCCAATGTCTTGGCCACAGAGAAATGTCATTCACTCGCCACCAACCAAACAGAGCAGAGGTCATGTGATAGAAGGTCACAGTGTGACGGAGGAGGGTCAAAGGTCAGTGTCATAGTATGTTTTAAAGGCATTCATTTTCTCCTTTCACAAATTTAATTAAAATTTGTTTAAAATTGTGATTAAAAAAATTGATATATACTCCTTTCCCAATGTCAGTGATGTACGTGTAATTCAATATGTAGTTGTGAGCTGTTACAGATTTTGTTTTATTTTATTCCTTGGATTGTAGGTTAGATGTTGATTATCATCACTTGTCCCAGAGAATAGAAGAACACGAATCCAAACAATTTCAACTCCAGCATTACATACAAATGGTAGAAATTTTGTTTTATGTACTGTAATTCATTACCGGTACACGAGGAGAGACAAATATTTAAAAAGCTATTTTCTGAAGAAAAAAAAGAATCCTTGATTTTTAAAATTTCATGAAAAATTGAAATTTATTGCTAGATATAGATAAAAATTTTCTGTTTTTATAATTAATACCATTAATGTATGAAATGATGTGTATGTTAACACTGTCAGAATTTGGTAAGAAATGCTAGTTTAAAAGTTTTGCAAAACTTGACCCTAATATTATTGTACAGTTGTTACAGAAACCTCCCGGGGATCCTGTGACAGAAGAGGGAGAGGAGAACAATTCAATGAGCTCACACAACAACACGGGTATGTATTTTTATTTTTAGTTATCTAAAGTCCTATACACATGGTAAGAATGACCTCATTAGGCTTAAAAAGATGTATATGCAAGTTGTGCACACGTGGTAATGCTAACAATTATGTTTCGGGACTTATTAGGCAAATCTTAATGTGTGTACTGGCCTTAACTTTGTAGGTGAATGATTAGTGTAACCACTGCAGTTGCTTCTTTATTTTCAGTGGATGAATTGAACGACACGGCACAAGCAGCCCAAATACAGAAGGAGATGATACGCCTCCAACAACTGAGGGAAAAGAAACAATCACAGGTATTCATACTGCCCTAAGTATTTCTAGGGATTTTGAAACTACAGAAGATGATAGTCAGGGAGTGCATACCTTACCAGTGTATTGATCTAGCTAAATTACATGTACATATTGATGCAAGGACATAATGTTTTTTTTAAGAAATGAATGTATTAAATTTATGTATGAATGAGGGGTGAGGTGGTGTGTTAGATTATAGTTATTCACTTGTTATTTTCAGCATTTGTTTCTTGGAGTTGCGAAAAACAGCTACTGTATACAGGGAAATTTTCGCCCCCGTTTTATTTTCGCCCCTTTCGCCCTCTTCCCGATTGGGTGAATTTAAAACGGTGCGAATTCAAATTTCACAGCATTATTTCTTAAAGACCCAATTTTTTTACCGTACGGTTACCTGAGGAGGGGGAGTGGTCAAAGTAACAGTGGTGTTATTTACCTGGAGACCCCCAATACCCAAGATGTCAAAAATCTGTGTATATGTAGCATTACACAGAAAGTCTGTGTTCGGTAATCAGGGTCAACATTACGTGTTTTGTGTCTGGTTTTGGGTGAAACTACGTAAAATAATTATTTTAATATGGAATTTATTTGTAAACTAAACGCTTTCATCGTAATCGTGGTAATGTTTTGAAGGGAAAAAAATAATAAGATTCATGTATATCGTTTCAGAAAATATTTTCCTTACATAAAAGAAAAATTTACGAGTAAAAACTACAAATCAATAATATTTATTTTTTTTAATCTTCAATAAAAGAAATCACTTGATTAAAAAAGTCTGACTATTGAAATAAAAAAATATTGATCCACCTATTCGCCGTACATGTGAACATGCATTTACCGCGATCGTAATGTTTTTTTATGGCCAACAATGTTGTCCAAAATATTTCATATTTTTTATTCCTCGTGTGTTGACAAAATTTTATTTTTAGAAAGATTTCTTTTCAGAATCGATCACTTTTAATTATCTTCATAATTTCATTACGTATATATACAGACGCTAGAGGAAATTCGAGCATTAATTCTGACATCAATTTCTGTGCAACATCGCGCGGATTGTAGCCATAGTACAAAATAAAACATCTGTTAAAAACAATGCTATGCCGTTTATTAGTGCTGAATATTTTTCTTCTATCCCATTTCTTAAAAAATAAATTAGTTCGTAGGACTTCTAATTACGGCAATTAGAGCCGGTATCTGTGGACGCGGTCTTTTTTTCTACAGATAAACGTGGACGATATAACACTTACAAGTAACTAACAGCAATGAAGATAGAAAAAAAATATTTTATTATGTCAATGTTTTAATAATCTACTTTCAATTATTTTTTTAAAATAAAATGCAAGCATATTGGAGTTTTCTAATCCGCGTGTATACTATGCGGGTACATGAAAGCGTTTGACGCGTGACCAGGTAATTGTTTTCAAAACATGCAAACTCAGATTATCAAGAAGCACAGGTAGCTGAGCTGTCAATCAAATCAGAAGCTATTGTTTTTTTAATGATTGACAGGCGGTAAATTATTGATCTTGAATCAGGTGATTTGGGGGGCGTTAACATAAAATTGGGTGTTTAAACAAAAGTATGACTGGGCGAATTTAAAACGAGGCGAAATAGTTCGCAAGTGCAAAAGGGCGAAAATAAAACGGGGCGAAAATAACCCTGTATACAGTATCAAGTTTTTTTCATGAATTTTAGTAAAATCTAGGAAATGAAGTTTTATTAAGAACAGTTTTCATTTATTTTACAAGTTAAAAAGAAAAATAAATGAAAATGTTTCAATTTTAGAATTGTAACCAAGGATTTCAAAACAAAATGTGTTTAAATTTGCATTAAAAAACATGAAAAATGTTTCATTATTAAATGTTTTTCATTGGAAATTTCAATTTCCTATTCTGTTTCTTGTAAAATAAATGGCTCTTATTTAGCCTTTTTTTTTTAGCTCACCTCAACGAAGTAGGGGGGAGCTTATGTGATACCCTCGGTGTCGGAGTCGGCGTCCCGGGTTAAGGTTAAGTTTTTTGGGGCAGTTTTCTTTTTAAGTACTTCTATGTCCTATATTGATTAGACATGCATGGAAGATGCTTCTAGTGTCTTTCATTGTACCAGTCCAAGATTCAGATGCTGCAGTTTAAACAAAGAAATGACCAGATTATTGTTTTTTGGAGCAGGTTAACATTTTTGGTGCAGTTTTTGGTGTAGGTTTCATTTCCAAGTAACTATAAGCCCTATGTTGACCAAACTTGCATGGATGATACATCTAAGGATGCACACTACCAGGCTTGCTTCGGATGCTGAATCTGACCTACATTTTCTGGTTGAGTGAACAGGTTAAAGTTTTTGGTGCAGGTATCATTTCCAAGTAACTATAAGTCCTATGTTGACCAAACTTGTATGGATGATACATCTAAGGATGCATAGTACCGGGCTTGCTTTGGATGCTGAATCTGACCTACATTTTCCGGTTGAGTGAACAGGTTGAAGTTTTTGGTTCAGGTTTTATTTCCAAGTAATATAAGCCCTATGTTGACCAAACTTGCATGGATGATACATCTAAGGATGCATACTGCCAGGCTTGCTTCGGATGCTGAATCTGACCTACATTTTCCGGTTGAGTGAACAGGTTAATTTTTTTGTGCAGGTTTCATTTGCAAGTAACTTTAAGCCCTATGTTGACCAAACTTGCATGGATGATACATCTAAGGATGCACACTATCGGGCTTGCTTCGGATACTGAATCTGACCTACATTTTCTGGTTCAGTGAACAGGTTAAAGTTTTTGGTGCAGGTTTCATTTTCAAGTAACTATGAGTTCTTTAATGATCAATCTTGCATGGATGATACATCTAAGGATGCATAGTACCAGGCTTGCTTCATATGCTGAATCTGACCTCCTTTATGTGGATGAGTGAAAATGTTAGTTTTTGATGCATGTTTCATTTCCAATTAACTATGAGCCCTATAATGAGCAAACGTGCATGGACGATACATCTTAGGATGCACACTAATGGACTTGCTTCAGATAATGAATTCGACATACATGTACATTTTTCAGATAATAGACCAGGTAAAAGTTATGGTTGCTGGTCTATTTCCAAAAAACTATAAGGCTTATATAACGTATAAACCAAACTTGCACAAATGTTGCATCAAGAAATTAAAACTCTCAAATTTGCTTCAGATGCTGGATTTTGATTACATTTTCATGAAGAAGAACTAGTTTAAATTTTTTATGTAGGTCGATTTCAAAGTATCAGATCAAAATTGCTTAAATATTTTCATTTTTGGAATGTACACTTTTTGTTGGTTAATTGTGTGACTTTGCCTTACTTAAAGATAACATTCGTTGAGGTGAGCTCTGTAATCTCTGATTACCTATGTTTTTCTTAGCAGGCAGAAATGGAACCAGGTACATCAGGGGCAGCGAACAAGGTGATGCAGCCCGAACAGTTGGCAGAAATATCCAAAATGTTGAACCAGGTCAAAGGTCAATTTGGAGGAGGTCAGAAGCAGGTGACCTTGACACACACTGAGGAGGAACATATGTTACAGATATTTAATCTCCTGAAGTACATGCAGAGGTTGGTGGGCTCATAAAGATAAACAGAAATTGGAAAAAGTTACTTGTTCTTTGTTCTTGTATTAGATTAAGTAAGTGGTTGAAAGTGACTTTGTTGGCAAAGGGGTAAAAAAGGGTTCACTTAATGTTCATTCTGCTAATAAATCAGATATATGGCTTTTCTTTTTCAATACAGAAAAATAGAAATCAGCCTTATGTATCTATGCTTAATATGTCCAAATGGGTCACCAAAGTAGAAACAGAAATTTAATTTTTAAAAAATCCATATGTAAAAGGACTTAATTGACAGTAAATGTTTGTGTTATAGTGCACCAGGGCATGATAGTGGAGGAGTGGCCAAACCAGGTCGTCATTCTAGTGCCCCTTCCTCGCCAAGGTCACACGACAGGGACAAGGTCAAACGGAATCTGAAGGATCAGATGGCAGTAAGTTTTCTATAGAGACAGTCAAATAATTACAGATTGAATGCATAATTTCCAATAGTAGAAGTAGGAAAAGTTCAATCAGTAGATTTGGACACCAATTTTTTTTTTAGATATTATATGAAGCAGTTAAAATAATTTTTTTTTCCAAGAGTAAATTACATGATTCTTTTTTTCTAAATGTTTCTAGTAGGAATTTAGTACAATTTCAAGAGGTACATCAAGTGGCTATTTTGAGGAATTTAGTGAAATCTGCCCATTTGGCTAATACTGAAATTCTGTGCTTTTTTGAGATTAACATTTGAGGATGTGTTCTTATAATGGACTAATATGCTCTTTTTTAGGGTGCCTCTGAGGGTCAGCCAAGAGGGGATAAACACGGAGGTAAACCGCCCCTGAACCATCAGAAGAAACCCGAGAGGAAGGTGGCGTCTGGTAGTAAAGCAGGTCATCAAAATAAATCCAAGTCGGCCTGGAAGTGAAAGTACAGTCAGTGATAGAAATGCGGAAGGTTCAGTCCAAGCCTGTCAGAAAGTGAAAGTAGGAAGGACCAGTGTTCAGTGTGTCTTCTATGTCAATGTGAAAATGAAAGTAAGACTTATGCGGTATATTGAAAGTACAAGTTGTGTGGTGTATCAGGTCAGAGAATGAAATTCCCAGGTCAAGGTCAAAAAGTCCACAAATTGTTACCAGAAAACAAATGGAAACAAACTTGTGTGTCTGGAGGTCTTTGTGTTTACGTCTTATTTATTCAATATTTTCCCCAAGATTCACAGAAAGGTTATAATAACTGTAAGGTTTTGTAATTTTTTTTCTTTTAAATTTTATTTTAATGCCTGAATCTTTTTTTACAGATTGTAGATCTTTATTTCCTTTAAAATACTGAATAGACTTCAAACAAACTTGTGCCATTTTAATATTTATAACCGATGTGTACATATATTCTGATTTGATTCTTTTTTTTCCAAAATATCTTGCATTTCTTTGAATATGAATCTGGCAGCTTTTGCACTTTTTTCAAGATTAATTTTACTGTTTAATGAAGTTTTATTATCTCACTGTCATATACTTTAAAAATAACTTTATATTAGTGACATCACTTTCCTATGCTGAATATTTCAAAGAATGACATGTTGTAGTATTCTAGTACTGTTACAAGAACAAAGGATTCAATTGACATGTAGCTTGGTTGTAATCTCAGGGGTCTGATCTATAGTATGTAAATGATGTGGCAACTGAAATCTAGAATTAAATACCAGTGTTTGTGTCATTAATTTCTTTTACTAATAACATCAATTGAATATTACTAATTGTTTAGAAAGGTTGTCAAGATATAGTATAGTACAGTATTTATGTTTGTGAAATCAAGTTGAAAATGATCAAATGTTTTCCTTTTTTCCACTTCTGAATTTCTCTTTTTGAAATGTAAACTTACGTACCGGTAGATACTGGATGTTAGATAGACACATCATTTGTGTTTTGTTTCCCTGAAATAATTGCATAACATATATGGAGAATTAGAGAAAAATAGAAAATAATGTTTTTATAGATACCTGTACATATCTGTGGAGATGAGTTTATCTGTGAATTGAATTCAAAGATACAGCTTAACAGATGTAAAGATGTTGAATTATTTGAACGTGGATTTTTTGCTATTGAACCAAGAGCCCAAGTTCTACTAGCTGTTATTTGATCCACATAAATATTTATTTATAAAAATCATATTTATTTTATATTCCGTCCTAAATAAATGAAAGAGAAAGATGGATTTTTTTTTCATTTTCTACTGAAAAGTATTGCACTTTAATGCCAGATTCAGTGTTTGATATAAGAATTGTACAGTTACTCTATGTGATCAAAGCAACATCACATTTTGCAGTTAAGGGTGTTTCTGTCATGTAGCATGTATAGTAAAGGAATGACTTATAGAAGTGTTAATTATTAGAGGCAATTTGACACTTTAAATGACTAAATAGAACAAGCTAATCCAGTGAATCTGTGTCCCCATCTAAAGGAAAATATGCGTGGATTTAGGGGGGGGGGTCACTATAGGGAGGGCAGGCAGGTCATAGAGAGTTGTAGTATAAATGTTAATTCCAAAAGCTTGAGATATTGCCTGGAAATGAGAGTTTTACAAAACACAAACAGAAAGATATGAATTGACAATCTTAATTTTTGACCTGAAAATCAATATGGTACTTCCTTAGGTGAAAGGGAGTTGTGGCATAAGAATTTCATTGCAAAAGTTCCAAGGCTTCTCCAGATACTGCACAAAAAGGGAAAAGCTATAACAGGCAGAATTTTTTAATTTATGACATTCACCTTTTGACTTCAAAATCAAAAGTGATCTTCCTTAGGCCATAGGGAGTTACCGTAATATAGAATTCACATCAAAGGCTTTTTGAGATTGCACGGAAACAAAATCTCATTCAGTCTATCACAAAAACTTTAACCTTGATCACAACTTTAGAATGAGAAGAGGTAGGACTTTCATATTGTAACATGTAAGGGTGCCCATTGGTGTCCATTTTTATACCCACCATAACTCCTTAAACAGCAAGCATGTGATGTAATGATATGGTACATTCAAGACACAAAAAGGATGTAGATACATCTAAATGAACATATTAATTTACTTGTTTCCCATAAAAATGAATAATTGATCAAAGGGTACCCAATTGGAGATTTAGTAACGGAAAGATTTAAAGGAGTTCTTGTTAAGCAAGTTTTCAGCTTCGAATAAGTTTCATTTTATTGTGCAAACCAAAGACTTTAATACCCGTAACTTCTAATGCTTACCAACATTTTTAGCTCACCTCAACATAGTTGGGGGGAGCTTATGTGATACCCTCGACGTCGATGTCGGCGTTAAAGTTAGGGTTAAGGTAAAGTTTTTTGGAGCAGTTTTCTTTTTAATTACTTCTGTGTCTTTTATTGATAAGACATGCATGGAAGATGGTTTTAGTGTGTTTCATTGTACCAGACAAAGTTTCAGATGCTGCAATTTCTGCAAAGGAATGATCAGGTTAATGTTTTTGGAGCAAGTTATCATATTTGGTGCAGTTTTAGGTGTAGGTTTCATTTCCGAGTAACTACAAGCCCTATGTTGACCAAACTTGCATGGATGATACATCTAAGGATGCATAATATGGGGCTTGCTTCGGATGCTGAATCTGACCTACATTTTCCGGTTGAGTGAACAGGTTAAAGTTTTTAGTGCAGGTTTCATTTTACAAGTAACTATAAGAGCTATGTTTACCAAACTTGCATGGATGATATATCTAAGAATGCATACTACCAGGCTTTCTTTGGATGCTGAATTTGACCTACATTTTCAGGTTGAGTGAACAGGTTAAAGTTTTTTGTGCAGGTTTCATTTCCAAGTCACTATAAGCGCTATGTTTACCAAACTTGCATGGATAATACATCTAAGGATGCAAACTACGGGGCTTGCTTTGGATGTTGAATCTGACCTATATTTTCCGGTTGAGTGAATAGGTTTAAGTTTTTGATGCAGGTTTCATTTCCAAGTAACTATAAGCCCTATGTTGACCAAACTTGCATGGATGATACATCTTAGGATGCATAATACCGGGTTTGCTTCGGACGCTGAATCTGACCTTTATTTTCTAGTTGAGCGAACAGGTTAATATTTTTGATGCAGGTTTCATTTGCAAGTTCTTAACTTTAAGCCCTTTGTTTACCAACCTTGCATGGATGATACATCTAAGGAAACACTACCAGGCTTGTTTCAGATGCTGAATCTGACCTAAATTTTCTGGTTGAGTGAACAGGTAAAAGTTTTTGGTGCAGGTTTCATTTCCAAGGAACTATGAGTTCTTTAATGACCAATCTTGCATAGATGATACATCTAAGGATGCATACTACCAGTCTTGCTTTGGATGCTGAATCAGACCTACTTTTTGTGGATGAGTGAAAATGTTAGTTTTTGATGCATGTTTCATTTCCAATAAATTATGAGCCCTATAATGAGCAAACTTGCATGGATGACACATTTTAGGATGCACACTAATGAACTTGCTTCAGATGCTGAATTTGACATACATTTTTCAGATAATAGACAAGGTAAAAGTTATGGTTGCAGGTCTATTACCAAAAACTATAAGGCCTATATAACATTGTATAAGCCAAACTTGCACAAATGTTGCATCAAGAGATGAAAACTCTCAAATTTGCTTCAGATGCCTGATTTTCATTACATTTTCATGAAGAAGAACTAGATTAAATTTTTTATGTAGGTCTATTTCAAAGTATCAGATCAAAATTACTAAAATATTTTCATTTTTGGAATGTATACTTTTTGTTGGTTAATTGTGTGACTTTGCCTTACTTAAAGACAACATTCGTTGAGGTGAGCTCTGTAATCTCTGATTACCTATGTTTAAAGAATATAATACCGACTCCCATGGGTTAGCAAATTCTCAATACATAAAAATGTAAATGTACATGCGAAAAAAATTCAGAAGTTTGACCATGCAACTCTTGAATTATCTCCATTCATCTTAATACTATAAATCCAATATTGATAGATATATATTATACAAATGCAAATTATTTTCGCGAGATTGTCATTGACTCATTGTAAGTGAGACATTATTTTCACGAATATTTGTTATTCCTCTATATAATCGTAAGGAATACTTTTATACGCAAGAATTTTAATTTTTGCAAACACATCATCTTGTATAATTAAAGTTTTCACGAATAAAAAGTAATTTACAGTATTTTTAGCTCACCTGAGCCGAAGGCTCAAGTGAGCTTTTCTGATCACATTTTGTCCGTCGTCCGTCTAGCTGTCCGTCCGTCCGTCTGTAAACTTTTCACATTTTCGACTTCTTCTCAAGAACCAATGGGCCAATTTTAACCAAACTTGGTACAAAGCATCATTGGGTGAAGGGGAGTTAAAATTGTTTAAATGAAGGGCCAAGTCCCCTTACAAGGGGAGATAATCAAAAAAAGACAAAAATAGGGTGGGGTCACTAAAAAATCTTCTTCTCAAGAACCACTGGGCCAAGAAAGCTGAAACTTATGTGGAAGCATTGTTGGGTAGTGTAAATATTAAGTTATTAAAATCATGATCCCCGGGGGTAGGGCGGGGCTACAATAGGGAATCCAATTTTTAAATAGAAATATATAGAACAAATCTTTAAAAATCTTCTTCTCAAGAACCACTGGGCCAGGAAAGCTGAAACTTTTATGGAAGCATCCTTGGGTAGTGTAGATATTAAATTGTTAAAATCATGACCCCGGGGGTAGGGCGGGGCCACAATAGGAAATCCAAGTTTTACAAAGAAATATATAGAACAAATCTTTAAAAATCTTCTTCTCAAGAACCAATGGGCCAGGAAAGCCGAAACTTGTGTGGAAGCATCCTTGGGTAGTGTAGATATTAAATTGTTAAAATCATGACCCCCGGGAGTAGGGCGGGGCTACAATAGGGAATCCAAGTTTTACATAGAAATATATAGAACAAATCTTTAAAAATCTTCTTCTCAAGAACAATTGGGCCAGGAAAGCTGAAACTTATGTGGAAGTATCCTTGGGTAGTGAGTAAAAAAGGGAAGGGGGTTGTTGGGCATGATTGGTATAGCATGAGGGGGAATCTGGTAAAGATCTGCATCACCCAAGTTACTCAGGTGAGTGATG